CATCTCTCTGTATTTGATCCCTCCACCCTCCATCTCCCTGTATCTGATCCTTCCATCTCCCCACATCTGAACCCTCCATCCCTCCATCCTCCACATCTGATCCTTCCATCCCTCCATCTTTCCACATCTGATCCCTCCACCTTCCATCTCCCCATATCTGACCTCTCCATCCCTCCATCTCTGATCCTTCCATCCCTCCATCTCTCCAGATTGAATCTCTCCATCCCTCCATCTCCAATCCTGTCATTCCTCCATCTCTCTGTATTTGATCCCTCCACCCTTCTATTTCTCTGTATCTGATCCCTCCATCCCTCCACCTCTCCACATCTGATCCCTCCATCCTCCATCTCTGATCCATCCATCCCTTCATCTCTCTGTATCTGATCTCTCCGCCCTCCATCTCTGATTCCTCTACCCTCCATCTCTCCACCTCTGAACCTTCCATCCCTCCATCTCTTTGTATTTGATCCTTCCATTCCTCTGTCTCTCTATCTGATCCTTCCAACCCTCCATCTCTGATCCCTCCACCCTCCATCTCTCTGTCTTGTCCCTGCATCCCCACCCCAACCCCTCCATCCCACCACACCCTCCACCACCCCAACCCCTTGCTCCTGCCCTTCTCTCCCTCTGCCCACCCCGCGGGGGTCACTCACGTCTCGATGGCCGTGCAGATGTCCTGGACGCTGCGGCCGCCCTTGCGCAGGGTGATGGCCAAGTTCTTGGCACGGTTGGACTCCATCAGGGTCACCTTGCTGGGCGCCTTCTGCGTGGCCTTGGCCTTGAGGGCACTGATGTCCAGGGCAGGGCCCTGAGCCTTGGTCTTGAACTGCTCCTCAAAGTCACTCATGTCCAGCTCCTGTGGGGACACAGGGTTGTGGAGGTGGCACAGGACATCTGGGGTGAGGATGGGGACAGAGGAGCAGGATAAGGGTGAGGAGTGAGGATCAAGGTGGAGCAAGGGGATGAGGATGGAACAAAGGACAGGGAGGGGTGAGGAGGGGACCAGAGGATGGAGATGAGGAGGAAGAAATGGACAGGATGTGAAGGTGCAGATGGAGCAAAGGGACAAGGACAGGGTGAGAGGAGAAGCCCTCCCGATCCCGTGTCCCTCTCCATGGTGCTAAGGACTTTCTGACCTCCAGCTTCTCCTGCAGCCCCGGACACCGCGGGTGGGCACAAGGCAGGCTCAGCATGGCCGGGGGCGCTGAATCCCCCTGTGCCAGCCCCTTGTCCCTGGGCTCACCTTGCTGTGTCTGTCCCCTTGTCCCTGTGCTCACCTGCAGCACTTTCTCATCGTTGAGCTCCGTGAACACGGTGCCGTCGATCTGGCTCGGCTTCAGCGCCACCCAGTTGAAGACGGGCATGCGGAACTTGGTCTGGATCGGCTTCTTCACCTTCACTGAGGGTCACAGGCGGGGAGGGGGACACATCACACCCACCCCAGGGTACCCCAGACCCCTCCTGGGGAGCATCCCCATCATCCCTGGGTCACATCCCACCATCCCTGGGAGCATCTCCAGCATCCCCGGGTCACATCCCCATCATCCTTGGGAGCATCCCCGGGTCACACTCACCTGAACCATTGGTGCTGGAGGGGGCTCCCGGCCCGGCTGGGGGTTCCCCANCCCGCGCCGCCCCACGTTACCTACAGAGGACTCTCCTCGTTGAAGCTCACGTCGCAGAAGAGCCGGGACGAGCGTTTGCCCGTCCGGGCCGTGAAAGGAACAGTTTTGAGAGCTGAGCAGAGCGACCCAGAGAGAGCGAGGAGGAGGAGAGAGGAGGAAGAAGCAGAAGAGGAGGAAGAGCTATGAGACAGGGGAGCAGCTTTGCCATGTGGGGGATGTGAAGGTGCTTGCAGGCGGATTTGGTCCCTGTGGTGGGGTTTGGTGACCCCCCCAGCTCCTGTGACAGCGCCTGCAGCCCCCAGCACTGGGTGTGTGATGTGGGTTGCTCACCTGAACTCATCTCTCACCTGAAATTATATCCTCGATGGCCCCATCTTTGCCTTCGTAGATGAGCGGCTCCTTCACCATCTGCCTCTTCTTCAGCTCAGCTATCATGTCCATCTGCTGCCTCCTGGCCTTCTGGACAGGCAGCTGGGAGGGCACAGGGCCCTTGAGTGCTGTGATCACACCCCAGAGGAGGTGGGGGACCCTCCCCTTCACCTCCCACCCCAGGACCTGTTTAGTTCTGGGACCCCAGCAGGGCACAGACATGGGGGCACCTTCACCTCAGGCTGCTGCTCGCTGCCAGGGGAGCCGGATTCTGCCTCCTTGGCTGCAGCCTCCTGCTTCTTCCACAGCTCAATGTCCTGCTCTGCTTTCTTGGGAGAGAGGCAGGGAGGGTGTGATGAGCCTGGGGAATCCAGGATTGCAGCCCCCTTCCTTCACCTCACAGCTCACCCCAACCCAGCTCCAAAATCTCTGACCACCCCAAAGGCATTCCAGCCTGTGACTGCTCCAAAGTGGAGTCAGGTGTCCCAGATCTCCTCCCAGCCCTCAGAAACAGCGACCCCCACGTCCCCTCCTACCTTGTAGGCTTTGATGAAGCGCATGAACATGGGGAAGAAGGTGGTGGGGGGACTGGTCTTGGGGTTCTCCCCGAAATATTCCACAGCTGACTCATAGGCTTCCTGTGGGCAGAGACACCTGATCTGGGGGCTGAGCCCCATCTCAGCAGCTCCTTCCAGCCTCTGCCACCTCCAATCCTGCCTGTCCCACTGGAGCCACATCCCCAGCAGGGACAGAGGTGTGAGCAGAGGGTGTCCCCACGCAGGGACTGTCCCCATGGCCCCAGCCCAGCACCCACCTTGGCGGTTTTGCTGTCAGCCTGCAGCTTCTCCATCACCTCGGAGTTGACCTTGAGGAAGTCCTTGAGCACGGGGCTGTCGTCCTGCCGCATGAACTCCCTGCGGGTCAGCTCCATGCCCTGCTGCAGGCT